GCATATATAAGTACAGAATTCCGAACTTGAGCTAACCATCATTGTTACTGGTATGTGACGCAGACCGAATGTGATTTTTGTAACCTGTTCAATGTATTTGAAAACAAAGCAATTTAACGAAGTTTCCTTCCGCTCACAAGGAGAATTAAATTAAATCAATTAAATCAACTAAACATGATTACGTACAAATCGATGAAACGTGGCAATTGGAAGACTTAAGTTCTCTTGCATACTTGCTTTGAATTGACGGCTGATCGGTTACAGATCCTTAGATTCTATAAGGCTTGTTTTCACTAGTGATTCGTAATTAGAAATGAGAGCTTTAAATGTGCATCTCGAATTATAGTTTATATTTTTATTTATAGCTGAAGATCAATATAATTACTTTAATTATCAGTTCTTGTACATCGGTGAACTTCCCTTGCATATACTTTCTGGAGAACGAGGGTCGAATATTTGATCAACTTCACCATCTCTGATTAGTGCGAATCTGAGGAAAACATATAAAACAAAAAAAATACATAAATAACCATTATTGGCATATCAAGTGTACATTTACAGATTCCTTCATAACCATAAATTAAAAACTGGGGGTTTAGGTGCTCAATTACCCTGGTAGGCAAGGTGCTTATTAGCACGACATGCAAGTTGATAGAAAAAGTATTGATCATTAAACTTCTATTCTACGAGATAGATAGTTTCAATGGAAATGTACAGCTTTCCATTAGGCTGAAAATTTTTGAGGCATTAGATAGATTTGAGGCAAGAATTCGTCACTCCTCTTTTAGATCATGTTAACTCATGGTATCTCCATAAAATGCACCGACCTTGCTCGGACAGTGAGCGGTTTGGAAGAAATCACTTGTTCCAGTTCCAATTTTTTGGGGGTGCATGTTCATCGCCAGATGCATCGAAATGTGCGCCGTTCAAAGCAGAAGAAGGGGCTTGCTGGATCTTTTCCCTCTGTGAGGTCAGCGAGCTTGAGAGTCCATCTGAGACTCTTTATCTTTTGCACCTTTCTCCCTATATTTTCGCCAGCCTGTCCAATACAAGGAAAAGTGAAGTAATAAGAACTGGCTCGATAAATCAGAAAATAAATGCCCCGACATTCAGAAGCCTGAATTTTTTTTTGCTAATAAAACGGGTGACCGGGAATGACAAGCGGAAAAAATTAAAATGGGAACGAAACAGAAAACTGTAAATGAAGTTACTGTTAGGGCTGGGTTCAAGTTAGGTTTTATTCCTTTTTTCCATATCCCCGATCCCATGCTCATTCCTTACTACCCGTTCCCCGTTTTAGTGACATCCCTTTCGAACATTGCTTGTGTTCGTCTTTGTGTAAGTGACCGCCAATAAACTATTGGTACTTATTATCTAAGTTCTTAAAATTCAAACAATTTACCAATACTAGTTACTAAATAATACATCCAGGCACATGGTACTAGTGTGCCCGGATCTTTCTTGCGCTCATTTAATGCTTTTAAGCACATGCCAATGCTACGCTAGCCTCCAAAGCAGATGTTCTCAGAGACAGACGTTCACGCGTTCCTGGCCCTCTAGCGTGGGCTCGTGGGGCAGAGACGTGTAAGGAACCCCTAAGAACGTATGCGAGAGAGGATATTGCTGAGCAGGTTACTCCACAAATGAGAGGTGATTTTCTTACCTTGTTAAATAGCGCAAACTTGAGGCTCTGCACTTCATTTTTCAGCAATTCCTGATGACTTTCCTGGTATTGCTTGTCATGGTTGCTCTCTCCACCCAGTGAGTGATAATTATTGCACCCAGTAACTACGCATTTAACCAAGCGTCTCTGGCACTCGCCAAGATTCAGGTGAATAGGCGACCTGCAAACATAACACGAGGAAATGTCAAGTAGCCGTTCTCATGGTAAAGAATTTCAATTCTGATTCACTTACTTGTGATTCTCTAATTGCTCTGAAAATTCTCACTCTTTTTGTTTAAAATGAATTCCGGGCCTTCCTATTTCGTACCTCCCCCCCTCCTCCCCTCCCCCCCCATCCCCAAACAAGTAAAAAAGATGAGGAGAGATGATTGTTTCGACAGGATACTCTCCTATGCAAATACTCTCACCTATCGGAAGTTTGCCATAAGACGTTTTTTTCTTTAAAAAAAGAATTAACTTGTCTTTTTAAAGTATATCATTATAGAGTAATATCAAAAGCTGGCATGTTCATTTACTTTGTTTTTATGCCGGTTACTCGAGTGTTCTTACTCGATATGTCAGCGTGAAATGAATGTGAATGACCTGAAAATCGCAGCTTTGTGTCAAGTGAATTATTGGTTTATACTACTACCCGCATAAGGTTTGTAATTTTCATATGTAGGTATTTCAAATTAAGCTGAAATACCACTGCTCTAAGCCAAATTGCAGAAATCTCTCACGTAGTAGTATAAACTTCGAAAAATGTTGGGCTGACAAGTTTTAAAACCACAATTTCAATCGTTTTCAATCTTTTTAACATGTGTCCATAAGTGCCTTCCTTTGTATTGAATTTGTTATTTACTTCCTCTTTCTTTTTCACACTAATTCTCACTATTTTAATGACAGTTCATTTAAGAAATTAACCACTCCCTCTTTCTCGGCATCTCATCTCAGCAGTGAAGTGCGCACACTCTCGGACCTTCTGGACAGTTTCTAGCGTGAGTGTCGAGATCGAATCTTGGCACTTTAACATTACAAAATGAACACTTGACTTCCTGAAATGGACAGGCTGCCAGGTGGAGATCCATGGCATCCTGTCTGTAGCTTTCCTGGCAACCATTAGGGCACGAGACAATCTTGAAGGGACAAATTGCGCTGTGATTTTGCATCTTGTCATGCTCCCCAGTCCATGTGCAACCACTATTAATAGAACACACAAGAATTTTGGCAATCATGGCCCTTACTGCCAGGTTCGTGTATATTTTGCAGAGGGTTATAGTTTCTCGACAAAGGGGACAAGTTTTCCCATTTCCTTGTAGGCTTTTGGATACCATTTCCTCCAAACAGGCCTTGCAGGCACTGTGTCCACAGACCATGGACACAGGCTGATTCATTAACTCCTGACTGGGACAAATCAAACTGACAAACAAAAGAATGAGACATTATTTGATGGAAGAACTAGAAGAGGGAAATTAATGGTATCATAATACTGCGAAGGTACCCCCGGGGGGGGGGGGGGTACATAACAAATTGTCATACGAGGAGGATCCGCCCTGAGGTCCAACACCCTACCCTTTTAAATACCATTTGTGAAAGAAGAGGTATTCCTTTTGTATACCTTCTATTGACAAATGGTAACACTTTCAACAATTTCACACACCTTGTTTAGAACTTTGTATCCCTTTAAACTGCTATACGTGCACTGTGGTTTAAGTAGGAATCAATCACAGAAATATAACTTTTTCTCGACTTTGGAAAACATCGGCGAGCGCGCGAAAAGGATCTATTTTCTTCCTCCGCCACCCCTACCCGCGGTTTCTTTTTTATCACACGCGCTCGACGGACTTTGAAGAGAAAATAGAGGCTCTCTGAACAGGCTAGGCCAGCCCTTACAAATGAAAAGTGCCCCAATTAGTTTAAATCGTACACTTCGCGACACCGTCAAACTGCGCTACCTCCTTGTTCCATCATAGTCATGCCAAGTCATTCTAGCACTTTTGCATATCTGGACTTGGTTTGTTTTTTTCTGGGTCGCATAAAAACGAGCTTCTTGGGGCCTTTTTAACTTGTATAAAAAGGTGTTAGACCGACTAAGTGTTAAAGGTTACTTGTAACCATTTTCTCTTTCGATAGCTCTGTCTGAATTATTGTAATCTACAAATAATAACTAAAACATCTTACCAGATTGGGCATAACAGGGTTGGGTGCACAGTATCTTCACTAACGACTTCGCAATTAAAAGAACTTAATCCAGACATCATCGTACTTTTAAAACCTCTCCTTCCAACAGCTCCCTTCCAACACCAGTTTCGAGCACATGCTATTTATACAATATATCTATATATAATATTTTTAACAAAAAGACCATTGTCTCTGTTCTGCTCCAGTCCCTAATTACATTGCATAGTCAACTTTCTGGCCTGTTCAGTTTTAAATTGACATGTTCAAATGACACTTCATTACGGAAACGAGATACGAAAGCACAAAAGTTGGCCAGAGTGTTTTTTTTGTTTTTTGTTTTCAAAAATCATCCAAAAGCCAAGAAATAAAGCAGTTGCGATGATTAGGAGCCCAAAACGAAAATGTTTCTGCAATGCCTTCGAGGAAAATAAAGGCAATTCAAGAGGAATATGGAAGACAATAAGAACACTGACTGGCTCAGGAAAGAACAGATGCGATATTAACAGTATTAGTATCGGGGAAGCTGTTATAGATGACAAAAAGCTAATGGCGCAACATTTTAACGCTCATTTTTCCAGTACAGCAGATAGGTTAAGATCTACATTACCGCAAGTTCCATCAGACCCCTCAAAGCTACAAGACTTTGTCAGATCCAGAAAAAGTCCTGATACATTGTATGTCATTCCATCCATCACTAGTGCGCAGGTGCTTACTTTGTTACAAAAGTTAAGTCCGCGCAAAGCTGCTGGCATTGATAAAATAAGTTCTCAGCTTTTGCGTATAACGTCACCTGTTATAGCACCTGTTGTTGCGAGATTGATTAACTTTTCCTTTTCCAGTGGATCATTTCCAAGTCATTGGAAAACAGCTAAAGTTTCTCCTCTGTACAAGAATGGTGACTCACGTGACGTTCAGAATTTTCGACCAATATCTGTGCTACCTGTCCTTTCTAAAGTTATCGAGAGACATGTGCATGACTCCTTATACAGTTATCTAACTGAAAACAATCTGATTTATCCTCGCCAGTCTGGTTTTCGGAAGAATCACAGTACTGACACCGCTCTCATACAGATAATTGATGAATTGCTCTTCAATTTAGATAAGAATAGAGTTAGTGGCATGGTGTTGGTAGACTACTGTAAAGCCTTCGTCATGGTAGATCATGCTCTTCTTCTGGATAAGCTGAAAGTATATGGTGTTGCTGGCGAAACAATGAAGTGGTTCCAGTCTTATTTGGGTGGTTGCGTCTCAGATGTGGCGCTTATGAAACATGGGGTTCCTCAGCGCAGTATACTCGGCCCCTTGTTTTTCACAGTTTTTATTAATGACCTGCCACTTCATGTCAGCTCCTCTGAAATCGATCTTTATGCAGACGATACTACAATCACATTGTCAGCAGATTGTGGCAGCATGGGAAGACTGCAGGTATCTTTTAATACATCTGTATCAGAAGTTTTTAACTGGGCATTGGCCAACAGGCTTCCACTTACTGAAAAAAAGACCAAGGTCCTCACCGTGAAGGAAAAGCGACTCTCGACCAAAATAAACAATAACCCTGAAATTACTTGCAACGGCAGTTTGTTAACTAACGTTATGAACGTTAAGCTACTAGGTCTTGAAATTGATGAAGAGCTATCTTTCTCTGAGCATATTACGACTGTTTGTAAGAAAGTTTCACAGCGCATCGGCTTG